TAGATAGACCATACCTGATGACACTCTCAAATACAGCCTGATATAATAAGTACATGATTTTCTTATCAACGCCATAGAACCATAAACTTAGTTGAAAATACAGTCTTTGGTAAAGCTTTTCACAGATCCAGTTTACGTAAGTGTCCCATGTTAGAGACCGGTCTATATAAATTCCCAAATACTTGTATGACTGTACCTGAGTGATTTCTTGATTATCTACAAACACTGGTAAATGCTCGACATCACACTTGGGATGAAAGATTATTTCCTTTTTTTTTTTTTTTTTTGTATTTACTTTTAAAATGTTTTCATCACACCACTCAACAAATGAGTCAATTTCAGAAAAATAAACAGAAACAGGATCTTGTTTGTTCAGCAAACTTAAAATCACCGTATTTAAGAATAAAATTATGTGATGCTAAAATCCAGTTTGGTTTGTAGCTACAAGCATTAGCAACGCTCACTACATCTGGTTCTAGATTAAAAATTACCAAAATATCTGCATCTGCTGCGTAAAAACCTGCTGAATAAGTTGGTGGTTTATTCTGCTGTGGCAAGAAAATGAATGAATTTATGTTATATTTGCATTAAAAACAGTCAGAATAAAGTGTTTTAAATTCGGACCACGAGTCTCTAAAAGTACATCATATCAAAAGATGATACTTAGGTTTTATTCTATTTAGGTTCCAATAAGCCCAAATAGCGAAGAGAAATAAAGAAATGCATGTAAAAAAAACACCTTGGGCCTTAGGAGGATAAAGCAATACATCTTAACATCTTAAAATAATCCTTACTGTACATGCCACATTGCTACAGCTACATGAACATTCAGGGTCTGAATGTGTTGGGATGATGTTGTGTATTCAATGTGAACTGGATCCTCTGGAACAGTGTCTGGGTATTGTGGGTTACAGACGAGATCAGCGCTTGGCTTGATTGACAGCTCTTGCATTACCATTCACCATAAGAATGAAAGTCCACAATCCACAATTACTTTTTGATTTCATAAATTAAGGACGTTTATCTTTTACACAAACTTAAATAACACACATAACACAGAAAGGTGGTATTACAGAAACATCATAACTTCATTCATTTATTTTCTTGTCGGCTTAGTCCCTTTATCAATCTGGGGTCGCCACAGCGGAATGAACCAACTTATCCAGCACATTTTTTACGCAGCGGATGCCCTTCCAGCCGCAACCCATCTCTGGGAAACATCCACACACACATTCACACACAAACACACACACTCATACACTACGGACAATTTAGCCTACCCAATTCACCGCATGTCTTTGGACTGTGGGGGAAACCAGAGCACCTGGAGGAAACCCACACGAACGCAGGGAGAACATGCAAACTCCACACAGATACGCCAACTGAGCCGAGGCTTGAACCAGCGACCTTCTTGCTGTGAGGCAACAGCACAACCTACTGCGCCACTGCTTCGCCCCCCACATTCTAACTTGAAAAAACAAAAACTTCCTAAAAACGGTCTACACTGACTGTTGGTAAAGTCTAGATAGGATACAGCTGCGTATTTGCTCATCAATATAGCATCAATTTTGTGACACTACAGAAGTTTTTTTACTGCGGCTCAGACTGATCAACATAGTTTGAATTGAAAAGAACAGCATGAACATGTACTGTAATATCTCCTTTTGTGCTCCATGGCAGACAGCAAGCAGATTGTTTGTTCAACATGCTGATTATTTGATTAGCAGCACCTTCTGATCAGTCTGTAGTAATTGTAGATGCGTGTACGTGTTATACGATCTCCCACGCTGCCCGCTCTGAGTGGAAACCTTTTTACATTTCATTAATTTAGAATGAATATTAAATATCCGTCACTGGCCCCATCCAGAAATACCTCATGTATTCAGAGCAGCACTGATGGCGCAGCAAGCAGAAATGTGTGAGTGTGTGTGTGTGTCTGTCCTTCTGTCTGTGTGTGTGTGTGTGTTATTTTGTGTGTCCAGCTGTGCTGAGCAGCATCTGTGCAAGTCTCAGTGGGAGAGAATCTGCAGTTTGTGTGTATGTATGTGTGTTTTTTTTGAAAGGCCAAGCCCCACACACACACACACACACACACACACACACACACACATACAGATGGACGGGCCCTGGGCAGGCAGACGAGTCGATCAACACAGAGGACAGATTCAGCCAAGTGCAAATGCATCGTGTTCTTACCGTAGAGGCGCTGTCAGCAGACACACACACTCTCTCTCTTGCTGTAAGCATGCAGATGCGCTTGGTAAATAGGATCCTCTGGCTGCTAGGCCTGTCAGGAGAAAAGTCTTCCCTCGTCTGACCCGGTTCTGCTCGTATCACCAGAGAGAGCAAGCGTCTGTGTGTTTGTTTGGGTTTGATGTTTTCTGCGTGTGTGTTTGTTTACTTCTCCCCTTTGCTAGAGACGTGTTGTCTTTCCTCTGCTGGATCTCTGGAGGAATATTCCTCTGTCTCTCAGGCGGGATTGCTGTCTGCTGTCCGCTCATGTGCTCAGCTCTACAGGTTCAAATGTCAATCAGAGAGTGAGGAACGTGAGGATGAGGAGAGGAGATCACAAACGCTCAGACTTTTAGCTGATTTCATTTCTTTTGTGTGTGTGTGTGTGTGTGTTAGCTTTGTTGTCTAAAGAATGCTTTGGATACACAAACGCATGGCTGTTTGTTATGCCAATAATGTACACAAAACTCAAACTGACAGGGCTTGAAATGTGACTCAAGCTCTGTGCCAAAATTTCACATTTTTAGCTTTTATATTTACGCTCTATTGACTCCTCCAAACAATAGGTGGGTGAAGTTTATGAAATCTGTCAAGAATATAGACAAGAAAAAGCCACATTTCATCCAAAAATAATTTGATATATATGTGATTTCTCAAGTTTTTGAAAAGTCCTAAAACCGCTGTGCATATTTGATCAGAAATACTGTAAAAACTTGTTGTGGAATATTAAAATTATAATGGATTTAATCTAAAATAGATTTAATCTTTATCCAAGGAGCACCAACACATCAACTACCCCTGAAGCAATTAAATTCATCTTTATTTCTGTAGCGCATTTACAGTGTAGATTGTGTCAAAGCAGCTTCACATAGAAGTTCTAGTGGATTGAAACAGTGTCATTTCAGTTTTCAGAGTTGAACTTCAGTTTAGTTTAGGTCAGTTCAGTGTGGTTTAATTTTCACTGCTGAAAGTCCAAACACTTAAGAGCAAATCTAATGATGCGCAGCTCCACAAGTCCCAGAGCAAGCAAGCCAGTGGCGACATTGGTGAGGAACAAACTTCACCAGTTGACGAAAGTGAAGGAAAAAAAAAACTTGAGAGAAACTAGGCTCAGTTGGGCACAATTATTTCACGACCATGAAGCATTTTTTGTTTTATTTTGGATTAAACAATTTTTATTATTGGCAGTGTGCTGCTTATTTTAATGTATAGTTTAAAGCAGTGGTTCTAAAACTTTTTCATTAAGAACCACCTCAGAAAACAAATCTCTCTCAAGTACCACCAAAATGACCAGTATTAAAATACAGTAGCGTAGTAGGCCCAGTAAAGCAGCTACAGCTTTGCACAGGTCAAAAAAGCGGCAGATTAATTTATATTATTATGAATATTTATTATGATCAGCCACTTTAAACATTATAAATAGTTTGAACATTAACACTGTACTGTGCTTATATGTAAAAAAAAACTAACAAAAAAAATGTTTGCTTTTATAAGGTAATTAAAAATGATAGGTCTCTGTTCCTAAAAAGAAAAGAAAAAAACTGTACTTAATGTAAATTATAAACATAGTATCCTATTCATCAAATCCTGAAAATGTTGCTTGGACCTCAAATATATATGCTATATGTGATCATATTCTTTCATGAACCATTTTTGATAAATTTTGAAATATGTTGCATGTACTTATGACATATCTGGTTTCTCTGCGTACCACGCGAAAGAAGCCTGTGTACCACTATTGGTACATGTACCACAGTTTGAGAACCACTGGTTTAAAGGATTGGCAAAGCAAGAGATTTTGCTTATCAGTGTGCATCAATATGCAAATAATGATAGAAACTGTAGACTGTTAATGTTACATTTCTTTATGAATGCATGAAATACATGCTGTGTGTGTGTTCTTGACATGTTTCTGTTTGGTTTGTCTAACGTCACATGTATCCTTATGAATAAAGCAAAAAAAAAAAAAATCTGTGTATTATGATCAGTTCAGAAAATATTCTTTTGGATGTGCATATGCTGTATACTTTTATTGTATACTGTTAAAGGGTTAGTTCAAAGCAAGAAAAATGAAAATGGTTATTAATGACTCACCTTTATGTCTTCCCGAACCCCTGAGACTTTTGATCATTTTCAAACTAAGATCTTTTGGATGAAATTTGAGAGATCTCTAACCCTACATAGACATGCAAAGTCCAAAAAAGGACTTATATAAACTAACCATTAAAGTACAAATAAATTAAATCTAACCATATTGATTTAGTTAGCTCACATTGCTAGTTTTATGCATGGTGAACAATTGATCTGTGCATGTCATTTGGAAAAAAAAAAATTAGCTCTTGGATTCTAAAATCTGAAAATGCTCTTCCTGTTTGTTTTCAGTTAAATTCTCAGATTATGTCTGTCTTGGGTATTGGGCGTGGCTAATATAGTTAACCACGCCCCTACAACTCTCTGTATTGACAACAAACCAAAATGTTGAGCAGGTGGTGCCGGTTAGGTTGTAATAACTCATCTAAAACCTCTTTCCTCGTATTTATGAATGGAATGTCTACTTTACTACATCCAGTCAGCTCACAGGAGAAAAACTATTCAATTTCCATTTCTCTGTAACTGTAACAATATGAACAAAAGGTGTTTGCAGCTTAAACTAAACGCTGCTTCTGGTCTGTGTGGACTTTAAGTCTGTCATGATCATTTTAATGTCTTGGTTAGTCTGAAATGTTGACGCTTAGCTTTTCTCTTCTTCTCTTTGTGTCTGTCTGCAGGTAGAATGTAAGAAGGCTCAACCAAAGGAGGTGATGTTTCCTCCAGGCACGAGGGGGAGGGCGAGAAGTCTTCCCTACACCATGGACGCCTTCATGTTGGGCATGGGCATGTTGAGTAAGTCTAACACACACACTTGCACGCTTGCTTACTAACCGGTGGACTGATGAACAACTAATAGGCGGGGCTTTTGGTTATAACTTGTGATTGGCTGCTGGACCAGAGGCGTGGAAGTGTGTGATGTTAGTCCAGTTGAGGCGCTGTGGGGTTCATCAGACCTGATGAGCAGATAAGCGTCTGTATTAATGGCTCAAATGAAGAGGAAAATGAGACTAATGTTGAGTGCAGCCATCTGCCTGACCTCTGCCTTCACTAATGACAGCAGAACACCTCAGCTGCACTCGTCATACACAGCACACCCATGCCTCATCCTATTATCTGCTGATTGTTTATGTTGTCTATGAGTAGCTGTAAAGGGAGCTTTGGTCAGGGTTCTGCTTTATCATGAATAAACTGACCAATCAGCACTATCCTTCTTTCTCACATTATCAGTTTATTCACTACGGATGAACTTAGAAAATGGTAATAAAATGTGACAAGAATGAAATAATCTCTTTTTGATAGAAATGAACAGTACATAATGGATTGCAAAAAGGCCTTAAATTACAAGGGGGTTTGGGCAGGTCCGACCCCTCTAATTAACGCTTGATCCTCCCTGAAGGACATCAAAACAAGATGTATGGGGGGTCTGCCCTTTAATAGTTAAGAAAGTTTGCTCTGATCTGTATCTTTAAAAAATATTAAATATTAAAATAACTTAAATATACATTTGACCACCCCTATAATGGTTCATACCATTGACTGCATATTTGCGGCAAAAATATTAATTCAGTGGTTTGAAACCGGCAAATCAGGAGCACCAACAGACAGCAATGCAACAGCAATGGCCCGTTTCCAATGACTGGTACAGTACGGAATGGTACAGGTCACCTTATTGGTGAGTGTGGTGTACAACAGAAAGTTTCAGTCGAAATCATTCTTGCTCAAAGTAAAGGTACAGGTCGTTCATATATCGTATGAGAAGCATTTCTCTCCAAACAGATGTCTTAAACACATCAATACTTGTGTATAAAACTTTTCTATGAACATATTTATAGATGCTTATAACTCCAGATCAATGACAGTGCAAAATAGCAAACTGTAACGTCTGTAATTATTTAAAATAAATAAATAAATAGAACACACAGTATATGAACACATACAGCCCCTTAAAGTCTCTGATATGTTACCAACTAGAGAAAAACTACACACAGCAGACATTTTGTCCTTATTTGCAAACAAAAAAGAAAGCAAAGCAAAAAACGCTCGCACTCGTAACAACCACAGGACATGGCAGATTTTGTTCTTCTTGGCTTTGTGTCTGTACATCATAACAACGACAAGGTTTGTTTGAGTTTGGGTCATCCATGGCTTGTTATTATATGCATATGGTATTACGATGTAATGTCTCGGCTCTGTATTTAAAGCATGGCGGTTCCTTTGTTTTCATTCTCACTTGCTCCACACGAGCTTGTGACGTATCTCTGTAACTAATCTGCATTCATCTGCGTATGTAGCTCCACCTTTTGGTACCCTTTCTCGTATTTGATACCATTTCGAAAGGGTGCCAAAAAAGTGATTTGGTACATCATTTGACAGTGGGAGCGACGATAAAAGCATACCGTACCGTACTGTACCACTCAGTGGAAATAGTGTTTACAAAACGTGTTTCTTTCAAAATAAGCATTTGTAGATGTCCGTAAAACCAGATGTATAGTTTGTATTTTATTATACACTGACTCGCACATGGAAGTTAAACAGTAAAATACATGAAATCTGTGCAGTCTTTCATGGTCATCCATTAAAAGGTGCAGGTATGCAAACTGTTTATTTAATATTACAAATGTCATTAAGAACCGCACAATATCCCACAAAACACTGAAACATTTAAACAAGTTTGTTTAATAAATCAGATGTTATTAAATTAAATGTATTAATTTGGTCTACTGAGGCATATTACTGAGCATAACCGAAAAAACTTGGCCCCCTTCCCAGTCATCAATGTATAATTCGCACCCTGAATACAACCAACCAGTCCAATCAATACTAAGTTGGGCATCAAAGTCAGCCTGTAGTTAAAGAAACTTTGTTTCAGACTCACAGCAGCAGTGCTTAACTTCCTGCTGGTTTTTATGCCCAGTATGAAGACTTTTTGGGGCATAATACTTAACAGTTTACTTTATTTTTTTATTTTACTGTCAGTTTTGGTCGATGATAGAAAACAGACATCAGCACAATTTGAGTCTTTATGAATGAATGTGTGACTAGACTTATGAATAAGGCTAAATATACAGTAATTATAACTTTAGTTTCCTCCGGGTGCTCCCATTTCCCCCACAGCCAAAGACATGCAGTATAAGTGAAGTGAATGAGATAAATTGACCGTAGTGAATGTGAGAGTGTATCTTTGTGTACTTTCCCAATACTAGGTTGCAGTTGGAAGGGTATCCGCTGCATAAAACAGATGGTTAAATAGTTGGTGGTTCATTCTGCTGTGACGATTTCTAAAATAGAGACTAAGCCTAAGGAGAATGAATAAATGAATAATTATGACTTTACTTTGTGCTTCCTGTAGTTCGCTGTATGAAGAATTTTGGGGTTTACGTGTCGCAGTTTATTTTGCTTTCCTTACTCATAATGGGAGCTTCGCATCAGTGGAGTTTCTCTTCAGTGCATAAGTTTGTTGAGCAGTGTCATTTACACTGAACTGAACTGACCTTAACTTTAAGGCCCAATCCCAGTTCTACACCTCAGCCCTTCCCTCACTTTGCTCGTTCATTTGAGGGGGTAGGGGTGTCCCAATTCTCTTTAGCTTAAAGGCTTACGACTAAGGGGAAGGGCTAGATACCCCTCGAAATGGAGATTTTAAGGATCACACTTCAAACCAAGGGTTAGGAAAATTCCCCAGAATACACCATCTACAATGGCATAATTAGTATTATTTTTTGTCATTATTACGAACTTATACAACAAACAAGCCCGTTTTAATACATCCATAACTGCGTTCATGTTTTTTTTTTTACCCTGACGATAAAACAAAAATAAAACCTGCTAAATTTCGCTAACTATGATCCCTAATAATAACAGTCCGACAACGTTCTGACACTCGATGACTCTGGGGTACCCTGTCAGAAAAGTCTAGTGGCTGGAAATGAGCTTTTTACATTGTCTGGTATAATGTTAATGTTGTTGTTGTTTGTTTACGGTATAAATACACAGTACAGTTAGGATCTTATTGCCGCATTATATCATTATGATAACATCATATATGCCTTCAGTGATTTCCTGAAGATAAATACCAAAAAATAACACAACTGGAATGACTACAGCAGTCGCGATCGTCTGATCTCGTATGAAGCAAGAGATTGCAAGGACATATTATGGCATGTGCAGGTGTTGTAGTGCTGTCCCATTTTAAAGCGTAAATCTTGAAGCCCTTAACATTCTCCTTCAAGGGGAAGGGGTGGGGGTAAAATAATAGAATTGGAATTGTGCCTTATACTAAACTTTAATTTGCTAGAACTACACCATCATTCTACACTACTCTCCTTCCTGCCTAAATTGCTGCTTTGACACAATATACATTGTACTATCGAAATAAAGATGAATTGAATTGATTAAATGAAAAATATTGTCCTGTACCAACTTAAAAAAAACTAAACTAAAAAACTAAGTATGTTGTCTGAATAATTTTTATTCGACTTGATTTTATGTACAGTCATTCTTTAAAAACATATATATATATATTTTTTATTTAACACACGAGTTACACACGGATCCCTCATACTGAACTTTTAACAAGGCGTGAACTTTCTGGAAGTTGTCATGGATTACTGTGGAGGAGGGTGAAGAGAGAAAGAGAGAGAACAAGAGCGTGAAGCACTCATGTGAAAATATTAACTCTGCTCTTATCTAAATGAAAGCGGAGTGAACAGGACGACCAGACAGAACTTTAGCGCAATTTGCATACAGCGAAAAAAAATCCCAGCAGCAGATCAGGGCTCATTATTTAAGGAACTGTAAGTTTCTTATACGCCAAATCTCATTAAAGCTGCCGCATTCACGCTTTTGTTTACCGCAGCTAATCGTGTCATTTATCTTTATAGTCGGGCGGCGCGTGTATGTTTGCTGAGATTAATACACATTTGAGCTGCTGCCTGCTTCAGCTGCCGCAGATGTATAATTGATTCTAAAGTGAATCTGAGCTGTTGAGCCATAAAATAGGTATATTAGCCTGAACATTAATAATGCAAATCAGAGGCTGAGATAGCAGCCGCCAGGGAGGACACAGCCTTTTTACCCATAATGCAGTGAGATACGGACAGGCCAGCTCAGCTCTTCTCTTGCCTCCTTTATTTCTTGTGCGTTTTTTCATTACGTGTCATCTGATTTTTCTTGGTTCTCTCATGTAGTCTTATGCTTTATATATGTATTTACAATCAGGGACAGAAAAAAAAACAATAAATAAGGGTATGCTGGCGGTTAGGGGAATTAGGGGGCCTAGACCAATGCCAAGAAGCCTGTATTAATCATATAGGTCTCTTATATTTTTTCTATCGTATGTTGTCAAATCTGTCTATAACCATTAAGATTTTAACATTATTACTTCTTTTCTAAACCAGCGGCCCCCATGAACAGTGGAACGTTCCTTCCATACTGGACATGCAAATATTAATATCTAATCACAAATCAAAAGTACGGCTAATGAACTGTGCAAAGTTTGTGAAAGCATTTTTATTTGTGAATTTATTGTATTTAGTTTTGCATTAAGAAGGTTCCACTTAACATATATTTTTTAACATGTAGTTTATTTACAAAAAACCTAGAGGGCTAAGGGGAAGGGCTAGATAGCCCTCGAAACTGAGATTTTTTAGGAGCACACTCGAAACCAAGAAGCACAAACATTTCCCAGAATACACCATCTTTAACACCAGCATGGCTGCACACGGAAGTAAGGAGATGCACAAATTAGCTTTTTTTGGTCATTATTACAAATTTTACAACAAACAAGCATATATTTCAATACATTCATAACATTAAATACCGTAAAAAAAAAAAAAAAAAAACGATAAAAAATTGATGAATTTCTCTATCTACAATCCATAATAATAACTCTTATATAGCAGTCCCACAAACTACTTTCACATCTGACACAGGAATACCCTATCAGAAAATCTAGTGGTTATTATTATGTACTGTCATCATGGCGAAGACAAAACAAATACGTTACTAGAAATTATTTTATTTAAACTGTTTAAAAATGTGTTAAAAACAAAATCTGCTAAACAGCACTTGAGAATTATTTGAAAAATGCTAATAATTTTGCCTTGAACTATATGTATTTGTTGCTTTTCTTTGCATCATCTCATTTCTTTTCTTCTTTTCTTTGTCTCTTGTAATTTTTTCTTGTGTCTCCTGGAGAATGCTGCTTTTTTGGCCAGCTCCTGCACATGTTGCAGTGTGGGGGAGATGTTGCTGAGCTCCTGCAGTCGTGTGAGCACATCCTCTGAGGAAGAACCCTTTTTTTAGCTGTGTATTCTCTGAGAGCTGTCAAAAGTGTTTTCAGTGCTGTCACCTGATATTGAGTGACTTGTGACAGCTTCTGGAAATCATAAGTGCACATATGCCAGCTCTACACCACGCTGTGTTTGTACTGATTTCTCAAATCTGTGTGTCGTGATTTATTATCGAGCTCTGGCGACTGCTGTTTCACTTTTTCCTGTTATGGGAAAAACATGAAATTAATGCCACATGTAAAGCATCAAAGAGAAAACATGTGAAAATAAGGCCAAGAATAACACACATCAGTCTCTCTCTCGCTCTCTCTCAGCATCAGAGGAAAACAGATGGCAGTGAAATTCCCTGAAGTTGCCTCTTGATTTGAGCTGCTGATGTGTTTAAACGAACTGTTGTGCTGTTCATTCTGTTCTTCTGATACACTCATCCACACGTCTACAATTAATACTTCCTGGCTGATCCAGGTTAAAGGTTACGTGTAATTTTTACCCCAGAGGGCAGAAAAGAACAGCAGAAACTTCACCAGTGTTGATGTTGTTTCTGTCTGTGTGTGTTTGCAGGTTATCCAAACATTGTGGCAACGTATGGTCGTGGATACACAGGATTCTCTCCTAGCTACAGTTACCAGTTTCCAGGTGAGCATCTGTCCCTATCTATCTATCTATCTATCTATCTATCTATCTATCTATCTATCTATCTATCTATCTATCTATCTATCTATCTATCTATCTATCTGTCTGTCTGTCTGTCTGTCTGTCTGTCTGTCTGTCTGTCTGTCTGTCTGTCTGTCTGTCTGTCTGTCTGTCTGTCTGTCTGTCTGTCTGTCTGTCTGTCTGTCTGTCTGTCAGTTGAGTTGATCTACCATAAGTTGATTGATCTACCATTCTATCTGTCATTTCAAGAATTTGTCCATGTATCTTGTTATATATGTGCGTAGTAGAGAGGACAGTTGAAATATTTGAGGACAGTATTGATATGAGACGAAAGCTGGGAAAAAATGTGAATGGTTCAGCAACGGACCTATAAGTGGAAATCAAACTAGCGCAGTTGCACTACATGTCTGTGTGTTTAACTTCTGTTGAACGTTTTATACATCCATTCATTGTTCTTTGTGGCATTTTGTCCATCCATCATCCAACCAATTAGCCCATCAATTATTTATTCTGTCTAATGTTTTATTTATTTATCCATCTACTGTTTTAATTTTTATCCACATTTTTATAACTATTCCTCAATTGTTCTTTCTTGTCTGTCCATCCATATTTCTTTCTGTCTAGAAATGATTCATCCATCAATAATTTGTACATTGTTTATCCATCCATTCATCCTTCTTTCAGTCAAAAACCTCATCCATCAATTATTTTTACTGTCTATTCATCCATTCATACTTGCATACATCCTTCTTTTAGTCCAAAAATCATTCATTCATCAATTAGTTTTACATCTAACATTGTCTAACGTTCCATCTATTAATCATTCCATCTATTAACCATCATTAATCCATCTCTCCTATTTAACATTTACAGATCCATTCATCAATCCTATCTAACATTCATCCATTCATCCATCTATCCATCCTATCTAATATTAATAGATCCATCTGTCAATCCTTTCTAACATTCATCCATCCATCCATCATCCATCCTATCTAACATTAATCCATCCATCCATCCATCGGCCATCCTATCTAACATTAATAGATCCATCCTTTAATCCTATCTAACATCCATCCTATCTAACATTAATAGATTCATCCATCAATCCTATCTAACATCCATCTATATATCATCCATCCTATCTAACATTAATCCATCTATCCATCCTATCTAACAATAATAGATTCATCCATCAATCCTATCTAACATCCATCCATCCATCCATCCATCATCCATCCTATCTAACATTAATCCATCCATTCATCCTATCTAACATCAATAGATCCATCCATAAATCCTATCTAACATCCAACCATCCATCCAACCATCCATCCATCCATCCATCCATCCATCCTATCTAACAATAATATTTCCATCCATCAATCCTATCTAACATTCATCCATCATCCATCCTATCTAACATTAATTCTTCCAAACTATCTAACATTAATGCATCCATCCATCCATCCATCCTGTCTAACATTAATCCTTCCAAACTATCTAACATTAATTCATCCATCCATCCATCCTGTCTAACATTAATCCTTCCAAACTATCTAACATTAATTCATCCATCCATCCATCCTGTCTAACATTAATCCTTCCAAACTATCTAACATTAATTCATCCATCCATCCATCCTGTCTAACATTAATCTTTCCAAACTATCTAACATCAATCCCTTCATCCTATCCAACATTAATCCATCCATCTAACCTTCATCCAAGCGTACATCCGTTAATCCGTCCATCCATCCATTTTTCTTTCAGTCTAAAAATGATTCATTCATCAATTCATTTTACATTGTTTATCTATTCATCATTGTCTAACATTCCATATATCTATCTATCCTTCCATACATCCATCCATCATTAACCCATCTCTCCTATCTAACATTAATCCATCCATCCAACATTCATCCAACCATCAATCCAATCTAACATTAATCCATCCTTCCATCCAATCCATCCACGCAATCTAATGGTAATTCATCCATTTGTTCATCCATCCACCCGTCCAATGTTCATCCACCCATTCAATGTTAAATCATCCAATGTTAATCCATCTACCCAATCTAACAATTTGTTCCTCTGTCTGTCTATAAGACAGTCTGTAAGTAATGTTTCAACCATCCATCCTCCAGCTTACCATACGAATATGCAAGAGTCACGTAAATCATTATTATTTTGTTAGCTTGTTGTTACCTGCACGCATGTACAGCGTTGAGGATATTACAGTGTGAGTGTATGTGTGTTTGTTAGAGGCGTGAAGGTGAGCACATTGCTCTGCTGCTGGCAGATATTAGTGTTGATATGAGTGCTGTGGAGAGACACCTGCCTGCTGATATCATGAGCACAGCTAATGGCTTTTTCTTCTGTGCCTCTGATGGATGTGTTGATGGACGCTGTTCTCTCCTCAACACGTTTGTAGTGAACATTTGTGTTGTTACTGTATTGCTGTTGTAGTTAAAAATAGCCTTTTTTCTTGTATTCATTTTTAGTTAATGATACACAGCATGCATCTAAACAGTAGATGTAGTGTGTGTGTGTGTGTGTGAGGCTTCGAGAAACGATGCTTTCTCTTTCTCACTGAGCCCAGTAGTTCTTCAAATATTTCTATTCAGAACAGTCATAAATTATACTTGACGCGGTTGACTCATCCTGATCCATAAAAAGATACAAATACACACAAAGCCACACACGCTGACAGCCTCATTCACATAAACACACACATTCGCTCACTCTCACACAAGCGTGCTGTGATCTGTGGTGAGCCTCAAACTCTTGCACAGTTACTCATCTTTATGTGACAGCACCTGACACACGAAACGCCGTAAAATCATTCACTACAACATCTGTCTCTCTCTCGTGCTGTTACTTTAGCCCTGAGACTAGAAATGAACCCTAAAGAAGGACAGCAGTGGCGCACATACAGAGTTTGAAGTCTGTAATTCTTTCTAACACAAGTCAATCGGAATCCGTGAGATCATGAATGAGCCTCTGACAAACCCAGTGATCTCTCCGTCTCTGCTGTCATTATGGAAATCAACCATCTGTAAGGGCGCTTTTGGAGAGCTGTTGTGCCCCTATTCTTTTTTTAATGATCCGTCTTTGTATCGTCTTGACTGTGCGCTGAATTTTGAGTCTAGGATTTGTTTTTCATGCACGCGCGCACGCTAACGAACACACAAATGCAGTGCACATCTTTTGGCTATTTTTGTTGTTTTGCAGAAGCAGGATTACTGTTTGTGTGGCACGTCAAAAGAGAAAAAGAAATGCACTTTGTGTTCATGTCAGGGACAAGAACATGTTTTAAAATCTTGTTAAATCATACATGCAACATAGTCTTTACAGGTAAATTATAGTGAAGGTCAAAGATTAACTATGATTAATCACATCCAACATAATAGTTTGTTTTGACTTTAAATATCTGTGTGTAATGTGTACATGATACAGAATGTGATACAAACACATATACAGAAAGAAAACTATACGAAACAATTAGATCTTTAAATTTATATGTAATGTTTATCATATTTAGCGGGGGAAATAAGTATACACGTCACCATTTTTCTCAGAAAACATATTTCTAAAGGTGCCTTGACTTGAAATTTTCCCCAGATGTTGGTAACAACCAAAGAAATCCATATATGCAAAGAAAGCCAATCTAATGGTTTACAAATAAAATAACACAGGGAAAAAGTATTGAACACATGAAGAAAGGAAGGTGTGGAAAGGCAGTGAAAGCCCAGACAGCAGCTGAAATCTCTCAGTAGTTCTTCAGTAATCCTCTGCCTCTTCTTCAGTATAAATGAAAATCAGCTGCTTCAGTCCAACATCTACATTAGCAGGAGGATGAAGATGAATCCAGGCCCTCAGTGTTGGGTTTTATATTTGATTATATGGCATCTACATATATGTGCGTGTGTGTAATTCAAAAGGTCATGATCTGCAGTCATTAAATAATTATTTAATATTTCTTTTTTTTTTACATTCTTCTGAGATGTAAAACACAAACATTTCGTCTCAATACCTTTCTCACTCCACCCTCTTATTCCATAGTCAATCCCCTACAGTATTAATTAAATACTCAATAGTTAAAAACAATCCAACCTCATTTCTTTTTGTATATAGCTAGTAACAACATAAGGGATGTCTCCTCCACTTATAAAAATCTCTATAATTAGAGAGAGCAAATTTGTTCAAAGAATCTCATATAAATCTTCGTCACTCATTCATATATTGGCCAATTGATTCAATCAAATAAAAAAATCTGAGACAATAAAAAACATTCTCGTCATAAATAATCATTATTTGCTTCATTATAAACTCAAAACCGATCGTTTCCAATCTTGTGGGTAAGCAACAATACTTTAAAGAAACACAGAGAGATCCAATTTTGCATTTATTCTGTTTGGGCTAAGTGATTTAATTTATGAATCCAGAACGCTTCTCTTTGTAATTATCTTTTATTTAGATTACCTCCTCTAAGTGACTCATATCAATTCCTATACGTTCTAGCTATTGTGTGTGTACCACAAGCATAGCATTAACACACAATTTTTTCTCCCCACTTGACTCCTACATCTCAAAGAATAAAGTAAATGTAAAAAATGTGAGGGTTAAGTTTAGTATCAGGGGGAAAGAATATACCGCATAAAAATCATGACATCTATGGATGTCCTGATAAAGATAGTTGTGCATGCGTGTGTGTGTGTGTGTGATTATGGTGAATCAGAGTTCATCTATACTGTATATCTATAGAAGAAGAAGGGGGTGGCATGCGACTTTGCTTTAGGGGCTCTTTCCCTCATTCTCATTATAAAAGCTGTTCAGATCTTCTCACGTAACCCACAGATCTTTAAACCGAGCTCTGTTGTGCTGTGCCAGCAGTTGGTGTCCTCCAGTTATTTCCTGGCTGTCTTGAGTTGATGCATTTTTTTTAGATGCCTAAAGATGTTTCTTAAGTGTTTGGTGGAG